CATCAAAATTGTGCTCTTCCTTCAAACTCTATCTGCAAACTTTTTTTATTAATAAATTAAATGACTTTAACAATTATTACTGAAATTTGTAAAATCTTTACACAAAATATACCACTACTGTTTAAATAATACTCCATCCGTCTCAAAAGGGTAAAAAATACGGGTAAAAAGATTTTTTTGCCCTTATGGGTGTATTGGTGTAAAAAATAGTGTAATTGTTTAATAATTATGAAAAAGTAAATGTAGTTTTGTACTTATTTAATTATTTATAAAAATGAGACTATTATTTTGGGACGGACAAAAATGGTAAACACGACTATTGTATTGAGACGGAGGGAATATTATTTTTTTAAATCTTTAAACAAAATATACCAATACCGTTTAAAATTTAATACCGTAGCCGCCCCGTTTGTTCGTTTGAAATGTCATTTTTCATCTCTTACTGCGTAAATATTATCTTTGACAATTAAATAACAATAATAATAATAATTGAAACATAATTTGGATTTTGCGGTTTATCCGATCTGAAATCAAAGTGAAAGAACTGTTTCAATTGACAGGATTTTTTTTTGGCTTATCATAATTAATAACAAATATGATTAAAGTTTAGGATATTTTGGGGTGTTTATAAATAGATAGCTATGGTTCCTAGTCGTATGACACGATTACAACTCTCTGAATTAGTATAATAAAATCTCCCCGAGTCCTGCCCATGAACGTAGGTTGACACACCATCATCAAACCACGTAAAATTTCTGTATTATTTATTTGTTCTGTTTCTCGTTTTCTTATACCAATAATAATAATAATAATAATAATAATAATAATAATAATAGTAAATATTAAATACTACTGGTAAACAAATTTAAAAGTACTAGTAGTATTAATATGTATAATTTGTATTTGTCAGACACAGTTTCGCCTAACCTACGTTGTTCATACGAGAAAAGCACGCAATTGGACCCTCCCCGGCCAATCATGAAGCGACACGTGTCGGTCCCCTGTCGTGGCACACTGTCGGAACACACGGAAGCATATCCTAATCCTCACCCTGCATTTATCTAATCTAAAGTCGTCAGTCAAAAAGGTGGCCTTTGTTTAGGTCGGTTTTACATTAATTAATCTCAATCATTAACTAAAATTATTCAAACTTAATTAATTAATTTATTATTATTATTATTATGCAATTTTACATGTTACGTATGACTTTGTTCTTAGTTCAATTTTTTTTAAAAAAATTAAAATTATTTATTAAATACTACATTCGTCGTCACAAAGCATACACTACATTTATTGTATTGATATTTGAATATTAATTATTATATCGAAACATAATACAAATAAATATATAAAGACAAAAACATATTTATTAGTCTTTATAATATAAATACAATGATATTTATGGAGTAAATTACATATTTTTAATGTTAAATATAAAAATACAAAAATATGTGTTTATTTACGGCTGGACGGAGGTAATATTTTCTATGATAAAACATGAAATCAAATATTTTTTTAAAAAAAATACTATCAAATACATTTTTTATATAATAAAAAATTATATCAAATATTCAATTGTATTCCTTTTTTTTTTTTACTTTCCTACTTATCGTATCTATCTCTCCAGATTACACTTTAATTATATATTCAATTTTTTAATTTATAATTTTTTTTTAAAAAAATTCTAATTAGACTAACTGGTTATTTTAATCTTAATCTAAAATTATTTTTATTATACTATAATTATTTTTATTAATATATTCTTAATTATTTACTAATTATATCATCCTAAATTTCCGTTCTACATTAAATGAGAGACGATAGCGATGAAATATTATTTAATTACAATATTATTTAAATTATATAAGAAAAATAAAGAAAACACAAGATTTATTTGGTTGTAAAAGTTTGAGATTGTTGAGTTTCAAATTGAGAATAGCAACTTTTAAATTGAAATAATTATTTAATATATTATTAAAAAAATAAAAAAATATATTTGATTTTTTTTTTTAAAAAAAGAAAAACTAATTAACCGTAAAATTTGAATTTGAAATCTATAATCAAACAAACGTCTTAAGATGTGCTTGGTATATTTAGTGTTGATGCAGTTGCGAGTCCATCTCACACAACTAAATTATTTTTTACGAAATTACAACTCATAACAACTTACATTTATAAATATTGGTTTATATATATATATAAATATAAAAATACATAGAATATAAAATAAATAATTTATAGCAAAATTTATTCTTGAAATAATGATTTTAGGAAAAAAAAAATATATTAAATTATTATAAATAAATAGCAAAAACAAATGGGATAAGGGGGTATAACCAAACATGTTCATATCATTATGCACATTTTGTTAAATATTTTTATTAATACATTAATAAAATAAGTAATAATTTATATGTGTGTATTATTGTTATCGTATACCTAACACATGTACTTGTATTATTATATAATATATTTAGGAAATTTTAAATAAATAAATGTCACTATTATAAGAATACACGTGTAATGAATTTTTCTTTATGGTCTATCCTTTTCCAAATATCTACCAATTGAAAATTGTGTCCTCCCCTCTGTATATCCCAATAATTTTATAATCTTATTATAAATATAAAATTTGCATAACATTTTATGGTATTTTTACTCGATATTTTGTATTTAAATAATATTTAGATATGATAATCTATTTTTATAAATAAATTATATAGTAACGTATTTTTTAATTTTTTTTTTATCATTTACTTAATAAAAGTAAATTGAGGTGTATATAATGAAAATAGGGAATATTTTATATATATAACTGAAAATGAGATTAAATAAATTTATTATTGAAAATGAGATATAATTTATTTATTACAACTTGTTTAATACTTGTAAAATCAACTTTGGTCTGCAAAAAAATTTAATGAAGTTCCATATAAAATGCACACGTGTCACTGTACTTACATTTTTTAATTTTTACTCCCTCAGTCCCATGTATTATGAGCCTATTACTATAGATACGATAATTTAGGTAAAGTGTGATTCGTAAATAATTAAGAAGTGTATTAGTAAAAATAATTATTGTATAATAAAAATAATTGTGGATTAAAATTAAGATAACTAAATAGTTTAATTAAGATTAAAAAATTATAAAATTTAAAATGAGATTAAAGTGTATAATTATATTTCCAAAAAAGGAATGGAAAAATTATGTGGGACGGACGAAAATAAAAAATAGGGACGGAGGGAGTATTTTCTTTCAAATATAAAATAGCTCATTTATGTTGTTATTTGTATTATTTTTAGGAGTTTTTAATTATGGTGATTTTTTTTTTTTTTTTTTTGCAAAAAAAAATATTGAATTTGATAGTTGTATATGAGAATTATTAGTATTATTATAAATTATATAATACAAAAATGGAAACATATTTTGCAATAATTTAGAATGTCTTATTTATTTATTGTTATTATTATTATTATTATTATATATTCTTTACTTGATATTTATCATTTATCTTGACATAAAAAAGTTACATTTAATCACCATTTTCATTTTAAATAAATTTTTAAAAAGTACAACATAAATAATTAAATTGAAAATCAATTGAATATTAATTCGAATTTGAAATGACCTCAAGCTCGATTCATTAACTAGTTATTTTTAATTGAATTTTAATATAATCTATAAATTTCTATCACAATTTAAAAATATAAATTTACATATTTAACGTAATAATTATTTTAATGTTTTTATGCTGAATCAACTTGACCATGAATTTGAACCTTACAATAATTTATAACGATTTTTCCCTTACATTATATTTAGAAATTAAAAAAAAAATGTAAAAATCTCATTAGAGAAACTCTAGAGAAGCAAGTTTTTTTTTTTTTTTTTCGATACAATTTTTACAATATATTTTATATTATTACAAAAGTTAATATTAAATATAAAATATTATGTTTATATTACTGATACGATTCATGTATCTTATATATATATAATTCAAATCAAAATATTAAACAAAGAAACCCTATATATATATTTTTTTCAATTTTGTTACTAATTAATTTTTTTTTAATAAAAATAATACCTATTAATCTTATTCAATAAAATAAGTCCTCCATATAGACGTTTTACGTAGCTACGAGTAGATGAACTTTGGTTAAACAAATGGCGACTAAGTCCCAAAAGCTTCCCTTTCAATTTATTTATTTATTAATTTTTCTGACTCCAGAAATTAATTGTAAAATTAAATGTGAATCAATAAAGTTACTAAACTAAAAGTCAAAATTCCAACAGATAATTAAAGATTCTCCATTGGGTCTGCTTACGTCACGATTGGTACTTCATTTTGTAAAAAATAATAAAAAAATAATAATAAAATCCTAAATTCAACTGTATCTGTTATTAAAATATTTTAAAAACCCAACTATTAGGAGTATAAAAAATTATGGCCATCCAGACCCACCCACCTACCCCACAGCACAAAAGTCTATTTTCATTTAATTAATTAGTTTATCTATATGTATTAATATTATTTTTAATTAAATTAATATTGTTTATTTGATATATTTTTAATAAAAAAATATATATTTTTTTTATAAAATATCATATTAAATATTATTTAAACAAATTTAAATCAATATTTAATTTTAAATTAATTTTAAACTATAACTAAATAAACTCATTATATAGTACTCAATCTCTCAATTATATTTAGTTGTTGGTTTCAGAACATAGATTAAAAAATATATTTTATTAAAAAAATAGTAAAAATAAAAATATAATTAAAATAATGAATATATAATATATATTGATATTTTTTTTAAAAATATATGTACATACATTTTTAAAAGAAATATTGAATAAAGAACAATATATTATATTTTCTAATATAATTTTATATTATTATTATTATTATAATTATAATTACATACAAACGTTGTACGAATGTCTCTCTGTGTTCTTCCTCAAGACACTTCACATTCACATATAAATGAGACCTTAATTTTTCCACCGATCCTCGTATCCTACCTAGCTTCCCAAATTTCTTCCTCCCTATCTCTTCTTCTCCTCCCTTTTTAAATACACACGACTATGATTTAATTACAGCAATCTTTCATGATTCCACCCACCCCCATAACCCCCCAAAATCCCCTCCCTTTCATGGACAATCTCCCCTCCGATAATTCCATTACAGCAACCAACGACGATCCGACCGATCTGCCGCCAGGTTTCCGATTCCACCCGACCGACGAGGAGCTCATAACTCACTACTTGTCCCAAAAAGTCCTCGACACCTCCTTCACCACCAAAGTCATCGGCGACGTCGATTTGAACAAGGTCGAGCCCTGGGAACTGCCCTGTAAGTATTATCGTTGTAATAACGCAGACAACCTGTTCGACGAAATGTCTGAACAACAAAAAAACTGTATTTTCTAATGTTTAGGGAAGGCGAGTATGGGAGAGAAGGAGTGGTACTTCTTCTGCTTGAAGGACCGGAAGTATCCGACCGGGTCCAGGACGAACCGGGCGACGGCGGCCGGTTATTGGAAAGCCACCGGAAAAGATAAGGAGATTTTTCAGGACAAAGTTCTTGTCGGAATGAAAAAGACTCTTGTTTTTTACAAAGGGAGAGCTCCTAAAGGGGCCAAGACTAATTGGGTAATGCATGAGTATCGATTCGAAGGAAATTATTCGATTCGATATTCGATTCAAAATCCCGCCAAGGTAGCCGTTTATGTTTTTTTCATATCGTAATTAATCGATCGTTTTTCGATTAACGTTGTCGTCGAAATTTTCTTACGATTTTAATTTGCAGAAGGAATGGGTGATATGCAGAGTGTTCAAGAAGAGTTCAGGAGGTAAGAAAGTCCATATATCGTGTCTGAAACAGAGCAGCCGTCAGCCGCCGCCACCGTCGATGCACGGCAATGATCGCGCGACGGCGTGCTTCTCGAATTCGATCGATGATCGTGTCGTCCATGGGTTTGGTCCTTATTGTTCGAATATGCAGCCGGCGGATCGGCAATCAACGATGCTCCGGATGCTTCTCGACGTCGGCGGAGGCGACAACGACGATCGGAGAGAGGATGACGTGGCGAATTATGGGATTTTTGAGGATTTTGGAGCAGGGCAGGTAGATTACCAGATGGATTGTTTGTGGAATTATTATTGAGTTCGATATATATATATAGTGTATAATTTTAGGTTATGACAATTGAGATTTGTGTAATTTGTATGCATGATTGAGGTTGGGGTAACTTGTATGTATATATATATATATATATATAGGTGGGTTTGTTTTTAAAGTTCGTAACTTTGTAAGGAAATGAAAGGTTAGATTATAGTTGTATTTCCATAATAAATTTTTTTGGATGTTTTGTTATTATTCATTTACATTTTTTTTCTAAAATAAAAATTACATCAACTATTTATTTTTTTTCTTATAGAATATTACATCGAATGTTCCTTTTTTTTTTATTTATTATTATTATTATTTTTTTTTATCATTTCTAAAATTATGTAAAATTCTCATCTAAACAAAGTGGTATGATTTGTTAAGAAATTATTGTGGAGTTCCTTCAAGGCATCTATACTTTTTCCTATCTTTTATTTATTCACTCAAATGATAGGTATTTCATGAAATACAAATCAATGTTGGATAATGTTTGTACAAAAAGATTTTTTTATTAACAAATTTAATATATATTGTTTTTAATGTGGTTAATAAATAATATATATATATATATATATGTATATGGAGAAGCATGTTTGTAGCTTCATTTTAATTCAAATTTTTAGTGTTTGTTGATCCAATGCAATCCTAGAGAAACAAGCTTAACAAAAAAATATAAAATAACTAAATCTTCAAAAAAAATATAATTGTATGTAGTATTGTTTATAAAAATTATTATATAATTTATGTATGTGTTAGTTATATAATAACAATTTTTTATATTTGTTCATGGTAATTGATAGATTTAATAGTACATACTAATAATATATACAATAGATTGTTATAGATTTTTAGCATGTATTATTTATTTTATTTAACATATGTAGATTGTGGTGTATTAACATATTTTTTATGATGAGATCAATTGTAACATGTATGTTAACTATTGTTATATAAAATTTAAAATCATATTTGATTTGATATTTTTTTTTTATGAAAAATAACTTTAAATAGTAAAAAAAAAGTTAGCTAAAAACACATTTATATTATATTTGTATTATATTAACATACAACTCATACTGCCCGTTTATACATATACTATAATATATATTTTGTGATGTCAACGTTGTGCTAAATAACTTTTTAATGTCATTTTTTTTTTACTTACAAAATAAATAATTATATAAACAACTAAATATAATAATTCTTACATTTAAAATTAAGTTGAAGAAAATGTATTTTACTAATCAAAATTTTGGAATCAACAACACACTTTAAGAAATTATGCATAAAATTTATTAAATGAGATGAACAATTTTTACGGTTTATAATTTTTTGTTATTAATTACGGATAAAGTTGTCAACTTTTATAATAAATATGTAAATTATTAATTTATAAAATGTTAATAATATTTTATATATTAAAATGACTATTTCGGGAACGATAAACACAACTTATGTTCATTCCTTCGTAAAAGCAAACAACAATACTTACCTAATTATTTCTAAAATCATCTTAAGTTCTTACCAATTAATTTCACAACTTGTTCAATATGACTTATGATTTGATTTAAAAGAGCTAAAGATTGTCATTCTCTTTTTTTTTTTTTTTTTTTTTAAGTCACGTAACTGATTTTTTTATCATTTTAATAGCACAATTGGATCCGGTATAAAAATAGTCATGTAACTTATTTTTATTTTTTATTTTTATATATACAATTGACCCTCTAGCGCCGGGAGCTGCGAATGTAGCACACTAGAGGTTGCGTGTACGTCAGAGATGTGTCAGTCTGCTGACATGTGAACAAAATTTGAAAATCATTTATGTCAAAAAAATTTTAGTTATGAAACTAATACAATGCAAAGTTAGTCATGGACCTAAAATGATTTTCAGATATTTTTTACATGTCATCGACACAATTTTCCACATGTCACGATTCTGCCACGTTAGCAATGTTGGCACATGAGGATTATTTTTGTCAATTTTACTAGTTGTGAGATAATTTCTATACATGGTTCAATTATTCTGATAAAATGACGGAATTTTCCTTCAACTTAAGAATTAGAACTAAATTTTTTTATCATATTAAAATATGCTTGGCTTCTCGTATAAAATTCAATCTTATATACAAAGCAAACAGACCTTTTTGTGTTTTCCTCAATAGTAAATTTGAGTTCTGAGATGAAATGAAAATTAGCCATAAAAATCCAACAACTTATGATGGAAATAAAAACAAATAATAATATAAATAAAAAATTAAAGGAATATTTGGCTTCTAGCTAGAACGTTGGTCGGTATACATTATGCTCTTAATTTTTTTCCATCTTAATAAATTTTTTGAATTTTTTAAAGTAAAATTCTCTTATAAATAATTTATATATATACAAAATTATTTTTATATTAATTATGTAAAAATTTATTTACTGGACGTGCTACGAGAAGAATTGCAACTCTGCGAATTTAAAACAAAAATAAATTTCTGAATACCTAAAGAAGATAAATTAAACTGAAACGGTGTCTTCGAGAAGAGAAGAAAAGTGTTTTTTAGAATTGCTATGAAACTTGATTTTCTAACTGTTTTTTATATTTAAAATAAATATATATTACGAAGAAACTTGGTCTTTTATTTGTAAACTCCGCCTATTAGTTTTACGTCAGTTTTTCAAATATGTGACCAAAGTTAAAATTTTAACCACAGTTAGTAGTCTTCCAAACTGACATAGAAGTATAATTGAAAAATGCCAACACATTTCAGTCACTAAAATTTCGATAATTAGGTGTTGATTTTCTTTCAAATTTTTGAATCACAATTATTCCATATATATATATATATATTTTAAAAGTAATTGTCATTAATGATTTCATATCTAGTAAAAGGATTATAATAAGTAACTCATTGTGTATATTACTTGCAAGAAATTATCACAAAAATACTGTCAAACTTGTTGATAAAATACATGAACTTTTTTTTTTTAACAGAAATGACAATTCTTAACACTTCTGTAGAGTTGACGAGAAAATCCGCAAATTAAAAATTATAGATAAAATGATTCTTTTTAAAATCTTCATGACATATTTTAATATTTTTTAATTAAATTTATGTTATATTATAATTCAACACTTACAATTGCTCATATATTCTAATTACAATGCTAACTTATAACCAAAGATACATAAATTAAGTAACAATGAAAATTAAATAAATGAAAGAAATTGAAGATAAGAGAACATTATGGAATGAATCAAGGAGTATACTTGACTATACATAGTAATGAGTTTGAATTTTTTTGCATTCTTTTTTTTTTTTTTTTTTAAAAGGATAGATTTTGAATATCTACCTTTAAGTCATCTTTGAATATCTACTTTTAAAACATCTATATTATAGATGAAAAATTAACAAATATTTACTCCATACGTCCTAGATAATTTGAGCGTGTTACTGTAAACACGAAAATTTATGTAAAGTATGATTAGTAAGTAATTAATAAGTGCATTAGTCTAACTAACTAATTATTGTATAGTAAAAATAATTATAGATTAAGATTAAGATAACTAAATAGCTTAATTAAGATTAAAAAAATTATAAAATATAAAATGTAATTAAAGTGTATAATTATATTTAAAAAAAATGACAAGTTATATGAGATAGACGAAAATAAAAAATAAAAATAAATTATGCGGGACGGAAGAAATATTTTTTATTAAATTTTGAGTCTCTATAAACCAATTAAAAACTCAAAAATACTTTAAAACATCTATATAAACAAAGACCACAATATTCTATCTCACATCAAATAAATTTTTAATCCAAATAATTCAAAAAATTAAAAAATCTAATTTACATTTTGAGATAAATTTTTTATGTTCACATAAACCAAAAATTTCACTAAATATAGACTTCAAATACAACATAGGCTCAATAGAATCTCAAATTGACAAATAAAATAGCAAAACAAGAATTGAATTGTCTACACTATAATACAAGATACTATTACAAATTTGGCAGCAACATAAATTACTCTATCGTATCCCTATTGACCACCACAACATCAGCACAACTTTAGACATGAGACATTACCACATATTTCATTTATGAGGTCAATGAGAACTTCCTACAACCGGCTAATATTCAATACTGTTCAATTTATTTGATCAACTAACTTCTTCAAATCGGGCTATAATATGAGTTATTAGAACCAGACTAACTTAATGCTAATATAATATTTTTTGCTTCGGACGAGCCCGTATAGACTTGTTTTTGAAATTATTCCAAAGATTTTGTACCAGTGGAGTTATATGTACGATTAATAAAAAATGTTTTTTTATTCCTCTGTCATAATACAATAGTCTTGTTTATTATTTTTTGTCTGCCCCAAAATAATAGTCTTATTTCCATAAATAATCATATCACTTATAACTACCCTTACTCTTTCATTATTATTACACAATTGTCACTACCTTTTACTCTAATACACTCATAAGGACAAAAATGTCTTTTACATTAATATTCTTTAAATCTCGTACCAACACAACTAAGACTATACATTCAGGACGGAGGGAATAGATTTGATTTTTTTATTGAATTGAAATTGAGCTCAATTTTAATATATAATATATATATATATATTTAAATGGTAGAGATTGGGACACAACTACATATTTTAAATTGAAATCTTAAACGGTCGAAACGTGTAAAAATATTTTGCCAACACTTATCTTAAACCACTAAACGACAATACCCTCTCTACAAAATATCCATTCAATAATATAATTAATATATTAATTATTTCGAATTTGTTCTAAAACTATATTATTTTAATACTCACACATATTTTTTATATACAATTATTTCAATATTAGGCTAATATTTTATACAATCTGATATTTTTTTTTCTTAATATAGAATTCAACAAATATGCTACTATATAATTTATATAAAAAATTGTAATATTTTAATCCTCAAATTAAATTCGTTTCTTTTGGTGTTTTTAATCTCTCAATTTTATTTTTCAAAATTATTGTTTTTAATTTGAAATTTTTTCATATAAATTATCATATTTAAAATGATTTAACTTTTAAATATTAAAAGAATCAGTTGGTAAACAAATTCAGTTGCAAACAAAAGTTATTGAACTCCCTTAAGAAATTTACCTAACCTAAATTAAAATGGTTTGGTCACAATAATTGAATATATGTTACCTTGACCAATAGTTTTTTAAATTAATTTTAAAATATTGATGGAACTATTCGTGCATATATATATATATATATATATATATACTCCATTTAGAAAAAAATTTGAATTTTTTTTTTTTTTTTAAAAAGTGATTTGATTTTCAGTAAGAAAATAAATTGTACTTGGTTTAATGTTTGTGAAAAGTTTACTATAAATAAATAGTATAAAAATTTCAAATATATATATATATGTAAACAAAACTTAGTAATAATCATTTAAAAATTAAAAGAAAAAAATATTTCTTTGTGTTTTATTACTATACATTTTAAATTGTTCCATAAAAACATCTATTTGAATTGGGCCGGATTGGATCGGACTAATTCTTTTATTTAGGCCTAATACAGTAACGGCCCAATAATAATTTGGACGGGTTTGGACCGGGTCAGCCCGTTTGAGAAAATTTTCCTAAGTATATTACAAATATTTTAATTTATCTCCATATATATTCCTTCTGATCCTAATTCCACGTCACATGATATTCTTTTTAATTTATTAGGTTTTTAATTTAATTTAATTTGTTGTTTCCCCGTCATTTCCTTAATTTTATTTCCTTGATTTCATATTTTCATCCAATACATAATCACGATTTATTTTATTTTGTTGTAATTTAATCTAAAATAATTTATTGTAATTTATTTATTTTGAATAATTATTTATTTATTCCATCAGATGTCGTTGTCAGATAATAATAATAATATTGAATAGGAAGAGCCTGCAGTGGTGGGGATGAATCGGCCATGGCCGCCCGTCTCGTCTGGTCCACTTTCACACATTAGATTCCAAAGCAAATTCTCCACTTTCGTTGTTTATCAACTCGGGATTCATTGCTTTTGCCGGATATTTTTGTTGTTCCGATTCTGCGATCGGTGGTGGATAGATTGAATTATGAAATTTGGGAAAGAATTCCGGATACACTTGGAGGAAACCCTACCGGAGTGGAGAGACAAGTATTTGTCGTACAAACCGTTGAAGAAGCTGCTTAAGAATATTCCGGTCCCCGACCAGGAGAATCTGCCGCCGGAGGGGCGATTGACGGAGCTCGAGGAATGGTTCGTGGGGATTCTCAACGAGGAGCTCGATAAGTTCAATGATTTCTACGTCAATAAGGAGGAGGAATTCATCATCCGATTGCAGGTAATTTTTTGTCTTAATTTTGAATTTATTCGTGGATCGGTCGGCGCCTCGTTGTTTTCGCTTTGTGGTGATTGTTTGAAGTTATTTGGTATTTGATTTACTGATCGATTAAATAGTGATTTGATCTCTTCAATTGAGCAGAAATTTGTACTTCAATTTGTGAATTTTGTTGATAAATTGAATTAGGGTAAGCTGTTCACACATAAATTCAAATTAGATGGAAAAAAATTGCACACAAATTGAGGAAATTGCTACCTATGGAACTTGGAACTCATCAGTGTTTTTAGTAATGTAGAATGTATCTATCATCTGCCTCCCTAAAATTTTCAGCCATGGAGGATTCTGAGTTTGGGGCGGTTGGCTGTATTCAGTTGCAGAAATTGGAAATTACCAGAGTTTATTGATGTAGATGAACATGAAAACAGAGTTATAATTCAATGAACAAAATGTATGATCATCTCTTGATCTGTCTCTGTTCTAAAACCTTGCTTATGTCAATGGCAATCAAACAACAGCTGCATTAGTTTGGGTTTCGTTGTTTTTTTTAGATGAAATAGTTGTTTGATTTGGTATTTTGTATAGAAATTAGAAAATGAGTATGTTTTTGTCGAAAACACCGATCTTCCACAGTAAAATAAGTACAAATTTGAGAAAAAATCGAAGAGAACAGAGCTGTGCACACGGGAATTTTTCTTGGTTGTAATTGAGCATCTCATTTGTTATTCGCCAGACACTTAAAGAAAGGATCGAGCAAGTGAAGGCAAAAGGAAGTTCCAATGGAATTTTCACATCCGAAACCGAGTTTAGCGAAGAGATGATGGAGATACGTAAGGATTTCGTTTCGATTCATGGCGAGATGGTCCTCCTAAAAAATTACAGCTCCCTCAACTTTGCAGGTAATTTCCTCACCAACCGAGTTCTTCCATAAATCTTATTCGTTACTTACGATCATATTCTTGAAACAGAACTTTATCTTCACTCATTTATCAGGTCTTATCAAAATTTTGAAGAAATACGACAAGAGAACCGGCAAATTGCTGAGTCTACCATATACTCAGCTCGCCGTTCACCAGCCCTTCTTCACGACCGAACCTCTGACTCGATTAGTCCGCGAGTGTGAGGCAAATCTTGAGGTTTTATTTCCGATGGAAGCAGAGGTTGTTGAATCGAATCAAATCCAGGCTGCAAAAGCAAATGCTACTTCTCCTCGGAAATCAGCATTACCTCTCGGGGAAGAAACTTTAGATATATACAAAAGTACACTCGCGGCAATTAGAGCTATACAAGGCTTTAAGAAGGCAAGCTCTACTTATAACCCTTTGTCATTGTCGTATCTGTTTGGCAACCAAGATCATGAAAATACAGGTTCGGTGACAGCTGAAAACTCGCCCTGTGCCACGTTGGAGGAGGAGAATGCCGAGGAAGATCCTCCCAATTCTTCGAAATGAAAAATGGTATATATATATTTGGTGAGCAATCTGTCTCTCCTTGATCTGTTATGTTAAAAGGTGATTTTTTTTTTTTTTTTTTTTGTTTTTTGTCGAATATGGTTGAATAAATATTCCACGAACTGTAACATAACGGTGAAATATAAGTTTGATCTTGGATGGTTTAGAGGATGTGTGATAATCTTTTAGATTGATTGATTGTTCGAAGTTTCTTATTTGGTTATTCTTTGGTAAATAGTATTTCCTCCGTCTGCCTCTAAGGGTAACATTTACCTTTTGCGTCATTGTACTTAACATTAAAAATATCATTATATTTGATAATTTTTTTTTACAAATGTCCTTCTATTAGTATTATACGACACTAATTGAAGTATTTTTGCAATTTTTTTTTTAATTTGTACTAAGTTTTGATATAATAATTACTATTCAAAGATCAACACGCAAAAAGTAAATGAGGCCCTTAGAGCCGGACGGAAATAGTATTTGAATGTGATATTTTGTTTGAAAGATACTGAATAGTTTATACGCCCGAATCGTTTTTCATATGTGCAATGCTTAGATCTTTGGGTGAGGTTTGACTCCGATAGTTTCTAGTCGATGTTTTTCGACTGTTTTATGTTGAAGATATTTTACAAAAATGTTGATTAGTTCTAATGAGCGCACGACCAACTTGTCGCTCGTTGTTAATTTATGTTTTGTATTTGTTTTATGTTTTATATGGGCATTTTGTTATTTGTTATTTGTATTGTCAGTATGTGTTATGCTGCTGATGTTCCCTTCCGTTTTTTCAGGTCATATAATTCATATTTCTGTTGCACAAAAAAAGAAAAAAATATTATAATTTTAGATTTTCAATCATATCATTCATATTTTTGTGCACATATATTTAAAAAACATATAGTATTAAAAAGATTCAAGTACAGGCAGGTCATACAATTCATATTTCTGTTGAAAAAAAATAATAAATAAACCCTCTAATTTTAGATTTTCAGATCATATCATTCATATTTTTGTACATATATATTTAAAAAATATATAATATTAAAAAGATTCAAGAACAGGCCCATTTTTAGCTTAATCAAATTTATAATATAGAAGAGCCATAATCAAAATAATAATAGTCCAATTAATAATAGTCATAGGCCCAAAATAATTTAGTAGTCAAACTAATACTAATGATAGGCCCAAAACTATTTACTTAAGGCCTACATTTGTTTTCAGCTCAAACTAATTTAATAGTCATATTAATAGTATTATAATAGGCCCAAGCCAATTTAAGTAAACCGAGCCCAAAATAATTGAGCCTCACAGTAACATCGACCCACTTGAAAAAAAAAAAAACCAAAAATTGGTGGAGATGCGGGGGATCGAACCCCGTGCCTCTCGCATGCAAAGCGAGCGCTCTACCATTTGAGCTACATCCCCATTTTTGTTAATTTTGTTACATTTTATATTTATAAATGGTATTGTAGATTAGCAAATATTTTTATAAGAAAAATACTCCTGCTTAAATTATATTTCATTTTTGTTATATCTCATAACAGTAGTATCTACCTAATATTATAAATACTCTTTCAATTTATAATATATTACACAAATGTCATTATCTTTATATCATATAATACTTAATAACAGAAATTGCAAAAATTAAATGGATAAATAGATATGAGACGGAGAGAGTAATTCATAAATAATTAAAAAGTATATTAATAAAAATAAATATTATTAAAATTAAAATAATTAATTAAATTTAAGTAAATTATAAAATATAAAATTTGATTAAAGTGTATAATTATATTTTTTTTAAAAAAAAGATAAATTATGTGGACAGACTAACGAAGAGATTATATATTTGACTTTATATTTTTTTGTTAAATTATCGTTATAAATAATGGGGGAAAAAAATAATGTTAAACTTTTTTTGAAAAAATTTACCATTTATGAGTAAGGCCAAAAATACTATCGATAAATGTATGCAAACGGAGCCTAAATCAAGTTTGAAATCCCTCTTCTGTACTCAGAAAAGTAAGTACAAAAATCCCCAATTCGAAATAAATTTGATTACAACAATGCAGTTCTCATTCAGATGCAGAATCCCAAACTCGAAATTTACAAATCACAGCCAACATTAGAAACGACAAAATACTTCAAACTTCAGTACAATTCAATAGCCATATGATGTTGGTTCTTTTTGTTTACTTAGAGAGCTTGAAGTACAAGACGACGGCGATTGCGATAACCAGCACGGTAACTATCGCGATAATGATCCACTTGTTTCGATTCATCCTACTCGATATGTTGTTTATGATCCTCTTGCTCTTGCCAACGTTGTCGTCCACACCGAACAACTATGACAAAAACACGAATGATAAGACATGTTCTACATCACCGTCTCGCCTTTACATAAATTGTCGGGAAACAAATTTCATATGCCAAACAAGAAATTCAGCAAATGAATGACAACAATAGTTAAGAGTGCGATCGTTTCAAGAATATCAACAAATTACTACTATTCATCAATTTTTGTTTTTCCCCAAAAACATTAAATCAAACACCTATTTTTTATTTTTTTATATTATAATAAAATCAATTTTACATTTAAAATATCACATTAACATCTATTTATATCACATCATACAACTATTTCAATTCAAAATTTTTACTATTCAAATCCCAACTCAAAAACACACCCGAAATTATTAAGACTGGTGAGCGATTAAATCCAAGGTATCGTATCTCGTAGCTAAGTTAAAGGATAATAAATCGTTCCTAATTGATAGGATCAAACCAAGGTTGTTATTGTACTGATTATATTTGGTCAACACAGTACTGACAACACACAATATATACCGATAGAATATTAAGTATAAGCCGACAGCACAGGGTATACATTAATATAATACAAATACAATAAATAAACACGATCTCGACACAAAAGGTATATTAGCACAATTGTATAAATTATTAGCATGTGCTATCAAATTATATTTTATCCGCTGATTAGGGCTAATCATAGTCATTCCCCCAAATTAATATTTATGTTCAAAGTGTAATTTATTTTCCAAGAATAACGAATCTAAAATCAACTATCTTATAAATTAAATGTAAAGACAATAATCATATATAATAATCCATGGGCGTAATTTAAACATTTCATCACTATAATCCTATACTTAAAATTAAGCATGCCCCCGCAAAAGATTAAAATGAAAGCAACCTTTTTTCAAGATTTTAAAACACCAAACGCTAAGAATCGCCAAAAACAGTTCGTACCGTGTTATTTGCGTGTAAGAGAGACTGTCTCTGTTGATGTAAATCTTGAAGCAGCGACACGCCGAGCTCTTCTGTTTCCAGCATGACCTTTCGGCTTTCCCTTATCCTGTTACTAGAGTTATTCAGTCTTTCAGTCGACACTAACAATCTATCCCTTTGATTGGCTGATACCTGTAAAAATCACAAAACAAGTTAGCAAGTTCCTCGTATCTCAAAATTATCCTAATTTGTTATCTACATTTTGAAAAGATATAAAAAGTAGGGTAATGTGGCGATATGTTAGAAGGGATTGGAAAAGGTATATAAAATTGTTCATACAGCCAATGTATCAGCCATCCCTGCCTCCAGCAGCTCATCTCGAGCAGCTTGGTTCAAGTTTGTCGACGCGATTCGCTTTACTTCGCTCTTCAAATTGTTCAGATCAGATTTATATTCCCTCAGCTTCGCTAGAAGCACTGCCTTAGTATTAGGCTGCAAACCACGAGCCTCGATATCCATCTTCCGAATCTGTTGCATTATCAGTTCAGTTTCCAAAACAGAAACATACAATGGTGAAAAATAATTTAATCGTGCCAAGTGGACTGATCTATGTATATACCAACTCATCTGCCTCGTCCAGCCCAGATCTGATTTCTGAAATTTTTTGCTTCTTTTGTTCTGCAAATAAATAAATTTTGATATTTCATGCAATTATCCGCACCAACACAAACAAAATTGTACTAAGAAATCAAACCAAACACAAAATGAAGAAAAACAAAGATAAAATGAACAAACACAGAAGCACGACAATCCATGTAAAATGGCCAATCAAGTATGCATTAAAATGAAGCAAGCGCATAAATTTAAACAACAAAACGACGAACATATCCGAGAGATAACACATACCTTTTAGCCAAATAAAATTTAACAATACATTCACAGAAAGTCAGAAACAAAAGGAAGTGAAAGCCATTATACAAAACTAGACCTATTATATATTTTTTTTAAAAGGTAAAAAGAAAGGGAGAACACTATTTGGTCGAAAAGAAGCGAAAGGTCGAATATCAAGATGTTAAAGATTAAGTAAAACAAAAACAACACTGTCGAACTTCATTCAAGCTCATAGTTCTTAAAGTTCATGTTTTTCCCATCTTCCATTCATTTGGCCTCATCCATACAATTCGTAGAAATGGAATTTTATCCCTTTAAACATTATTATGTAATAAATCCAAATTAAACATGATAAAAATCCTATTTTTTATTTTCTATATTATGCTATAAATCAATTTTAGAATCAAAACATCAGGCATCAACTTTTATTTACATCATCCAATAACTATTCAAATTTATAATTTTACTATTCAAAATCCAAACCCCCAACCAAACACACCATTCGAAAGTAATCATCATACATAATAAGAAGCTTCGAAACTCTTCTAGAAATGAATCCCTGAGAAGAGACTGTGTTCATCATACATCACTTGGAGTGAAGTTTTTCCAAGAACTTCTGCGCAGAAAATTTTGAATTTAAATTATAGCTATAACCAATGACATGACAACATTTCCGCCATACCAGTCAGTCTGTTCAACTACTTCTACGCATATATTCGCCTCCATATTTCTATATTCTCAATTTTAGGAAGCAGATTATCTATGCACGGATGCAGAAACAGACAAAGATTACAACATCACCGCACAAATTAAAAGCAAAAATTGGATGACGAAATCAAACTAGGGCTTACGCTAACCTCCATCTAATAGGCTCGCCGCGGAGCACTTCTTCGACAGAGCCGCAGAGAGCTCGCAGTACCGCTTTTCGTAGCCTTCAAAAACCGTGCTCATCGTCACCTGGCGCAGAATTCAATCAGATCGAAATCGCCATAGTCAAAACATTTCGCGTAAAGATTAGGTAACAAAAACATCACTCACCGCAGATTAGGATGCTGAATGAATTGCGAGATCTCAGACAACGCAAATGCCAAAAAGGAAAAACAGGATCGAAAGAATTTCGTGGAATTCTCTTCAGGCAATCGGATCGAACGGAAGGAACTGACGAAATTATAAAAGCTGGATTTCTTCCCTCTGCAAAACGACCTCGTTTTAGAAGTGGTTGTGGGCCTTGTCTTCAAAGTTGGATGGTGTAGAAGGCCCAATCAAATAAATAAATTAGAATTAAGTGTATACATATATATATATATATATATAATTTAATATTTTGAAAAGTAATACTTATTTTATCAGCCAAATTTAGAATATTCGGATCCAATATAAAAATTTAAAAAAAGGTTAATATTTTTAGTAAAAAGTGATTAAAAAAAAGGTTTGAATAGTTCGAAAGTTTAGCTAGAAATTAAAAAACTAATGAAAAAAATATAATAAAAATAATAATATTTTTTGTAAATAAATTTGAATGAAAGATAATAATTAAATATTAATTTGATGATTTTATCAAAATTAATAACATGTAAATTTAAGCGAATGAATTAAAAAAATAAAAGTAAATTTGATGGACTAAATAAGTAGTATTAATTAATTAATTAGTTAATTTTATGTAAAAATAATTTTAAATATAATTTTAAACAATAATAATAAAGAATAATAAAAATTGTTGAATTAAGTTTGTTTGTACATAATTTTTCTTTTGATAAGATTTCTAATATATACTAATTTATCATCTCATAAAAAGTAATATTCAACATAATATATTATTTTTTATACTACGACATAATTTTCTATATTTCACGTAAAAAATAAAAAAAGAATCAAATTGCAACACTAAACAAACAAAATTGAGCAGTAAAAATAATTCTCACACTCTAACAACCCTTAAACAATTATTAATACTCTATCCATCTCAATACAATTATACTGTTTACCATTTTTGTTTATAAAAAAAATAATCGTTTCATTTTTATAAATAATCATATCACTGTAAAACTAGTCTTACTTTTTCATTATTATTACACAATTGTCATTACTTTTTACATTAATACATTCACAAGAGCAAAATAATTTTTTACCCGTACTTTTTACCCACTACCAATATAATATCAATATTCCTTAAATAACGTGTCAAACACAAGTCAGACTGTACTTCTTGGACGAATAGAGTATATATTATGCCATAGAAACTCACTGCACTATTTTTTTAGTATATTTTTGATAAATTTTTGCTCAAATATAATAATTTGTAAATTAAGCTGGCAAGATAAATTATACTAAATTAACTATGTATGTGTAACATGCAAAATCAAATAGTATCAACGGAATTTAAAACCATAACAATTAATAATATATATATATATATTTTTTTTATGACGTAGGAACCTGCAGCCGCTATCCAAAAGTGTGCACCGATAAACCTCCAGCCGAACCAGAAAAATATCAAAACTTGATTGAAAAATATTAATTAATTAATTAATTAATGCGTTTAAATTTCATTATAAAATTCTAATGCATTATTCTAACAAAAAATGATTAAAATGTGGTTCTATAGTATACTAAAAATATATAAATTTAAACACACCAAGTGTTTATATATTTATTTTACCATTTCAGATGGTTTGCAATCAATTTATTAATAGGTTAGTTTCGTATATATTCTTTATGTTATGTCACAATGACTCTTTTTCATTTTTTAATCTATTTTATAGTAAATTTATTAATTTTAAATATATTAACAAATAAAAAATTTAATTAAATTTCTAATCATTTACAAGTAAAATTCATTCAAAATTTATTTAAAGGGGCATCATTCCAAAGTCCCATTTAAAAAGGAACTCCTTAAATATTTATATTATATACGTATAATTTTTATATATATAACTTATTTGATATGTGTAAGTATAAAAATATATGATTTGGTATTATATTATTAAATTTATAAAAATAAGGTCTCGAGTTCAAAGTTTTAATCTTCAAAATAATTTTTAATGTTATTTGTTTTTTTTTATCAAAATATGTTAAAAAAACTATTATATTTAATTATTTATATTTTATTATAAATTTAAAAATATTATTTATACATTAGTATATGATTTTTTTTTTAATTTATTTTTTTGCACAAGACCAAAGTATATACTTTTAAAAAAAAAACGACAACAGTGCTTTCTTAGATTTGTTTGTTTGTTTGTTTTTATATATATATATATATATATATTTTACTAATCAATTTAAATAACTTTTAATAAAAATATATTATTTTTTTACAAGACAACATTTAAATCAAAATTTAAACTCAACCTGAAACCAAACAAATAATTGAGTTGAGTTTTTTACAATTTTAAACACAAATCAACATTGATTTTTAATAAAAACATTCTATTTTCTTTTTTACAAAACATCACTATCTTTTTAAAATTTTATTAAAATAAAATTTATACATTGTAAATTTTGACTTTTGTTGTTTTTTTTTTAAATAAAATAATAGTTTAATATAATAGTTTGCATAAAAATAATAATATTTTAATAATAATTAAAAAAAAAAAAAAAACTAAAAAGGAACATAGCCTACAGAGAAACCCTATGTTTAGAACACACTTCTGTTGGTTGTATTTATAACAAAATTAATATTATTTTTAACTTTATAATAAACAATGAAATACTATAATAAAGAAAATGAAAATAATAAAATCCTATTCTTTAATTCACAAAATATCACATCTATTTTTTATTTTAAATATTATATTATATTTAAAATATCACATAAAAAATATCCAAAATTAAAAGTATGTTCTTTTAGAGCTTTTTTTTTTTCTTTATTATTATAATTTTACTATATAACTACAAGAAATTCTTATAAAAATATATTTATCTCATAAAATATTATATCTAAAATACATTTCAAACAAAAAACTCAAATCAAACTCTGATTTCTCACAAGATTTTTACTATTATTTTTATTTTTCCTTAAAAATATCAAATTAAACAACCATTTCGTATCAAACTTGTAAGAAAATAAACATATAATCAAATATGTTAGCGGAAGCGAAATTTAAACAAACCTCCTGCCATTGCTAAAAATTAGATTTATTCTTGATATTCTCTTCTCCAAGCAAAACGTGAATTGGAGCTGTGGGAAGACGGTGTTGTCAGACTTTGGAACCCTTGGGAGGATGTTGCCAAACTTTGGAAACCTCCGAAGATAGTGCCAGATCGTGGAACCCTAGGATGATATTGCCAAACCCTGGCTCTCAAATAGCGATGGTGTATTCTAATTTTCTGAGAGTAGGTTTAGTAACCCGTATGTGAGAGTATTTATAATCAAAAGAAAAACCGTCCATCACGATTTTTCTGCCACTTCTCACGTATATTTTGAATGTGATAGACTTAATGGGAGAAAAGTGGGCCACAATTTTAGGTTAGTTTAATTATATAAGATAATTCAAAAATAATCAAAATTCAAATATGATTAATTAATTAATTAAACTAACATTCTCCCACTTGGCCCACTCAAACTATCACAACATAACGAAAAACCTTACATACGAATCATGGCGGTAGGTCTTCTATAAACGAATGTTACCTTCCATGTATCACGATATGTCAAGCATCTCAAACTAAATTCACAACTTAATGAATAAATCTTATATTTATTCCGGGTTAAACATAAGCGAGTTTTCTCAATAATAAACAAATATGTGCACAATAAAGCGAGAAAACATCAAACTGAATAAGAGTCTCAAATAACAATGTGTGCAAATAAACTACATTGTAGAATCAAGTCCCATACTTGCTACGTGATCCCTGAAACTCTTTAGTGGCATGCCCTTAGTCAGGGGATCAGCAAGCATCAACTCTGTACTAACGTGTTCAATGACCACTTTATTTTCCTTGACACGTTCTCTTAAGGCTAAATACTTGATGTCGATGTGTTTACTTCGACTCCCACTCTTATTGTTTTTAGCCATAAATACCGCAGCAGAGTTGTCACAGTACAACTTAATCGGTTTGGAAATAGAGTCAACGACTCTAAGCTCAGATATGAAACTCTTCAACCATACACCATGCGAGCTAGCCTCGAAACATGAAACAAACTCAGCCTCCATAGTGGAAGTAGCAGTGATAGACTGCTTCGCACTTCTCCAAGAGATGGCCCCACCAGCCAACATGAACACATAACCCGATGTGGATTTCCGAGTGTCAATGCAGCCAGCGTAGTCCGAATCGGAGTAGCCAATCACTTCCAGCACATCAGTTTGTCTATATGTGAGCATAAAATCCTTCGTACCTTGAAGGTACCTCATCACTTTCTTTGCAGCTTTCCAGTGGTCAACACCTGGATTACTCTGATATCTCCCTAATACTCCAACAGCATATGCTATGTCAGGCCTGGTGCAAACCTGAGCATACATAAGACTTCCTACTGCTGAAGCATAAGGGATATTGCTCATGTGTTCCCTTTCAAAGTCATTTTTCGGACATTGACTCAAATCGAGCCTGTCACCCTTCACAATGGGAGCTACACTTGGTGAACAATCTTTCATATTAAATCTTTCTAGAACTTTCTTGATATAGGCTTCTTGAGACAAACCCAAAATGCCTCGATTTCTATCTCTATGGATCTTAATGCCAATGACATAAGATGCCTCTCCCATATCTTTCATATCAAAGTTCCTTGAGAGAAATTGTTTCACCTCATGTAACATCCATTTATCATTAGTTGCAAGCAAAATGTCATCCACGTACAACACAAGGAAGCAAATATGACTCCCACTAACCTTCTGGTATATACAGTGATCCATGACGTTTTCTTCAAAGCCGAATGAAGAGATAACATCATGAAATTTCAAATACCACTGACGGGAGGCTTGCTTCAATCCATATATGGATTTATTAAGCTTACAAACTAAATTTTCTCCACCACTAGAGGTAAATCCTTCAGGTTGTTTCATATAAACCTTTTCCTCTAGGTCACCATTCAGGAATGCTGTTTTCACATCCATCTGATGTAACTCAAAATCAAACTGAGCTACTAATGCCATGATCACACGGAGGGAATCTTTCTTAGATACCGGAGAGAATGTCTCGGTGTAATCGATTCCTTCCCTTTGAGTGAATCCCTTAGCAACAAGTCTTGCTTTATGTCTTTCGATGTTGCCATCAGAGTCTATTTTGGTTTTGAAGACCCATCTGCATCCAATGGCTTTTACACCATCAGGCAACTCGACAAGATCCCATACCTTGTTTGATGCCATAGAGTCCATCTCGTCTTTCATAGCACTATGCCATAAATCGGATTCTTTAGAATTCATGGCTTGTGAAAACGTTTCAGGATCATTTGCGGCTTTTATATCGTAATCTGATTCTTGAAGATACACCATGAAGTCACTAGAAATAGCTGACTTTCTGACTCGTGTAGATCTTCTTAATGTTGTTTCATCATTATCATGAAGAACTTGCTGACCAACTGATTCAACAGCATGTTGTTCAACATTTTCTTGATGTTCTTCATCAACAACTTGATCTACGTGATCATTTTCATCAGTTTGTGGAACTTCATTACTTAATCGTCTAACACGCGTTTGAACTTGAGGAGCGTGAAAGACAATCAATCTATCACTCAGCTTAGTAGGTTGATCTTTATAGTGATCTGTTTCAGAATGAGTATCTGGAATATGATCACTCCCACTAACCAAGTCATTCTCGAGAAATTTCGCATTTCTCGATTCCACAATTCTAGTGCTATGAGACGGACAATAGAATCTATATCCTTTAGACTTTTCGGCATATCCAATGAAATACCCACTAATAGTCCTCGGATCTAGCTTCTTTTCTTGTGGATTATAAATTTTCACCTCAGACGGGCATCCCCAAACACGTATATGTCGCAAACTCGGCTTCCAACCCTTGAATAATTCAAAAGGTGTCTTTGAGACAGCCTTGGTTGGTACCCGATTCAATACATACGCAGCCGTCTTTAGCGCTTCTGTCCACAAGAAGTGAGGAAGTTTCACATTACTCCTCATACTCCTCACCATGTCCATTAATGTTCGATTTCTTCGTTCTGAAACACCATTTTGGTCCGGAGAACCAGGCATAGTGTATTGGGCAACAATCCCATTCTCTTGAAGAAATCTAGCAAATGGACCGGCAGCTTGTCCATTTTCTGTGTATCTGCCATAGTACTCACCACCTCTATCAGATCTGACGATTTTGATCTGTTTTCCACATTGTTTCTCTACTTCAGCCTTGAAAACTTTAAAGGCTTCTAAAGCTTCATCCTTAGAATGAAGTAAGTAAAGATACATATACCGTGAACAATCGTCAATAAAGGTGATGAAGTATCTCGGATTACTTGCATTCATGTCTGGACAACAAATGTCTGTATGAATAATTTCCAAAAGATTCGAACTCCTTTGTGCACCCTTTATGGACTTGTTAGTTTGCTTGCCTTTAATGCAACTAACACAAGTCTCAAAATCAGTGTAATCCAGGGTACCAAGTATCCCTTCATTCACTAATCTCTTAATTCTGTCAATTGAGATATGTCCCAATCGACGATGCCACAACATATATGAGTTCTCATTCATAACACATCGCTTTAAACCAGCTGTGACATGCAGTGAATCAAAAGTAGTGTCGTTTTTCAATTTGATCGAATAAAGACCATCATTAATTTCACCACAACCAACGGTTCTAGATTCAAAATCCAAAACAAAACTAGAATCCATAAAGTGAAACGAAAAACCCAAGCATGATAGTCTCGATACAGAAATTAAATTTTTGGAAAAACTAGGAACATAAAAAGTCTTTTCCAACTTCAAAACAAAACCACTACTCAGCATTAAACTGCACGTCCCAATGGCTTCCACAGGCGAACGCATCCGACTACCGGAATAGATGAACTGTTCACTTCCCATTGGTTTCCTTAGGCTTTCCATACCCTGCAAGGTATTGGAAACATGGATTGTAGAACCAGAATCAATCCACCATGTGTTATAATTAATATTAACCATATTGGATTCATAACAGACAAATGCAGAAGGGATACCTTTCTTTTCGAGCCAGGTTTTGAACTTAATGCAGTCCTTCTTCATGTGTCCTTTCTTTTTACAGAAAAAACACGTAGACTCCTTCTTTATAACCCGCTCAGCTGGCACAGGTCCCTTCCCCTTTGTGTCATGCTTTCTCTTTTTGCCATGGACCGTTAGGTTTACTTTCTCACCTTCCTCCATCAGTAGTCTCTCCTCCTCTTGAACACACATGGTCATCAATTCATTAATGGACCATTTATCTTTATGTGTGTTATAGGATATCTTAAATGGACCGTACTGATGAGGTAAAGTGCACAATATGTAATGGACAAGAAAGGTCTCAGACATGGTCACCTCTAAGCTTTTCAGCTGCGCCGCAATGTCCCGCATGCGCATTATGTGCTCGCGCACACCCCTCGCACCCGTGAACCTCATGGTGGAGAACTGAATGATCAATGTGCTGGCAAGAGCCTTATCAGACTTGACGAATTGTTCATCGATAGCCCTCAAAAGCTCTCTAACATTATCATGCTGATCGACAGACGCACGGATACCAGCAGAGATCTTAGTCTTTATGAGCATCATGGAAAGACGATTAGATCTCTCCCATCGCTCATAAAGATCCACATCATCTGGCTCGCTGGTTTCAGTAATAACCGGCGGCTCGTCTTTCCGTATAGCATAATCAATGTCCATCCAGCCTAAATGAAGGAGAATCCTCTCCTTCCAGATCTTATAATTATCACCAGTCAATTCAGGAATATCACATTTAATGTCAGAGAAATTCATAGGATTAAATGCTGCAAAATTAAACATACATGCTCATCAATAATCGAGGCAAATAAGTTACATGTTCTACCAATGTAAACACGTTAAAACATGAATCTAGAGACATAAAACTTGCCTGTGGGCTAAAGTTTTACTCAATTAGATTTCATCAAGAACTTTACAATAAAACTATCAAATTGTGTTCCTTTTCTCAATTCCTGTGGGTAGATTAAGAAATACAACTCGATATTTTATCCTAATTACTCGTACAAATATAACGAGACTCCTGTGGGTAGATCTCATCACATCGTACATGATAATTACAATTGATGTCCATTAATGTGATTTCAAATAAATCATGAACAAAATTTTAATTAATCGAGGATGCTGTGGCTATTCCACAATTAAATAAAATTTAAAATAAATCACAAACATCATGAATATATAGACTGAAGTTCACATAAATAAATCATATTTATACCATCAGCATGCTCCAATTAAAAATGTAGTGCAGATAGTCAAACAAACATGCAAAGTTTCATATACGACCAAACTAAACTTAATTAACTGATTTGATAAAAACAATTAGGTGATCCAAAAATTCGTGCAGAACAATGCAGTGTTATTTAATTGATCAATATACGTACGCATATTTCGAGAACATATACACAGTCATGCATATGGATGTATCCATGTCTTTAATTAAATTATTTTAAATGAAGCATACAACATGGATTCACAATAAACACTGATGAATAATAATAAATAATAAATTTTGCAGATCTGATTTTATCAATTAAATAATCAATTATTCATGCATCATAACCGATTAGAGATTGCATACTGGCATACATTAATCCATCAGATATATTCCCTCGAAACACAAAATAGGAAAAATTCAGAAATTCAATATTTTGTGTAAATTAATTTCAAATAAAATTCAAAATTTTCCTAAAAGACAGAATGAAATTTTCTCAAATCGCAGGATCGGATTTTGATCAAGAAAATATCGCAAAACAATTGTTGAAAATAGAAAACCAAAATATTTTCAAATAAGAATTTAAAGCGAATCTTGATCAAGAATTTGATGAGAAGAAAATTCTAAGCAAGGCAGAGGCCAAAAATTGCTCTGATACCAAATGTAAGAAAATAAACATATAATCAAATATGTTAGCGGAAGCGAAATTTAAACAAACCTCCTGCCATTGCTAAAAATTAGATTTATTCTTGATATTCTCTTCTCCAAGCAAAACGTGAATTGGAGCTGTGGGAAGACGGTGTTGTCAGACTTTGAAACCCTTGGGAGGATGTTGCCAAACTTTGGAAACCTCCGAAGATAGTGCCAGATCGTGGAACCCTAGGATGATGTTGCCAAACCCTGGCTCTCAAATAGCGATGGTGTATTCTAATTTTCTGAGAGTAGGTTTAGTAACCCGTATGTGAGAGTATTTATAATCAAAAGAAAAACCGTCCATCACGATTTTTCTGCCACTTCTCACGTATATTTTGAATGTGATAGACTTAATGGGAGAAAAGTGGGCCACAATTTTAGGTTAGTTTAATTATATAAGATAATTCAAAAATAATCAAAATTCAAATATGATTAATTAATTAATTAAAATAACTATTTACATTCAAACTTTTACTATAAAAAAATCCAAACCTAAAAATCAAACACACACGTGTACCTTATTGACAATGAATAAATATCCAAAACAAATATGCCACAGAGTTTGAGCAAAAGCCAATTTATTTTTGTACATTACAAAAGGCAAAAGGCAACAAGAGATTTCTGCTGATCATTAAGTACACATATACTTGGTTCTAAGCAACACAAGGGTAGCAAAACTAACAAAGGAAAAGCATAAATTTAAGATAGTAAAACATGAGTAATCGGACAAAAACCTTAGTAGTCGGGAACCGAAGCAAACCGGTAGCCTTGAGTGCCTCTCCAGGAATAGTAAGCAATCCTCGTCTCGTAGAAGCCTGGCAACCATTTCATTACTATTAGTATGACCATGAACAATGATAGTAGTCGTAAAAAAAAATTACATTAGTTCGATAAAAAAGCAGACTGACTATGGTTCTGACGGCATCACCATGATTAATTCCAATTAACACATTGTAAGGATATGCACGACATATGATTGTTAAAACATCATGTTTTGTCCGTTATATATTACATGCTGTGTTGTGTTAACATATAATATATGCTGAGATAAATGGTAATATCTATTGTCAGTTCATAAAATGCGTTTACTGAACAGGATTATGGTGGATAATATTATTTTATCCGCTCTAATCCCATGTTTACTTTAAAGTATTGGAACCCGAGATAATTATAAGCCCGATACTATAGTAGCATTTTGTGTTACTAATAGTACAATCCCTCCTCCTAATATTATTTAATCTCATTTAATAAATTTCTAAATTATTAACTTTTTAACCATTTAGAATCATTTAACATAAATACGATAATATATTTTTGTTTAATATTTATTTGAACTGTATTTTTATTTTACTTTGAAATATACTATAATTTGATTATTTTTTTTTCGAAATTTTTATATATAGTACAATTTAATCTAACTTTAATGAATCAAAGTAAACATCATATTAATTAATCTAATGATTATATAATTCATTGAAATAGTTCTATGTATAATAATACAATCATTTAAAGTAAACGCACCCTATGTGTACTAAAATCAATGATAACATGTGTTGTGTAGACTATTGTCATGTCTTTTTAGTTCGTTCATATACTATCTATCTATTTGTTATCCGTTGTCTTTGTATAATTAATGTGATGTCACTAGGGTGCTAAATAATAAAGAGTGTTGTTAAGTCCTTTATTACAAAGAAAATCAAGGTTGTAAATAATTGTTATACCTGGCAAGAAAGTAAGAAATCCGAGTCCTAAGAGACCGTATGCTTGCGAGGAATCTCCTCCCATATGACCCGTGAAGATGAAAAACGAAAGCAAGAGAAGAAGGCATCCGAGGAGGAGCAAGAACAGTGCAAGACATATTGATTTCCATGGAACTTTGTCATAGGTTTTCGGTACGTAATCAAATCTAGGATCATTTTGGCCATCGTAATAATCATCTTCATCAACAGGAAGGCGACTGTAACGAACATTTCTTTTAGATGCCATTTTGTTGAAGTAATTCTTGGACACTGGAATATTGTTCGGAAATCATGCACTGGCTACATAAATAGCTACACAAAAATACAGATGAGAAACTATAAAGCTGTATCTGACACTCGAATTAATCAAATCTTGGATCATGAAGGTCATTCTGATAAAAATTTTATGAACTATGAGATCTTTATTGATCCCTTGAGAAGTAAGTGTGTTTACTTGTCAGGTTTTACACCTGATTTTACTATTCCAACTTTTTTTTCCTAAAGAAATATCAAATCAAACACCCAATTTTTATTTATTTATTACACTAAAATCTAATTTTACATTCAAAACATCACGTCAACACATATTTATATCACATCAAACAACTATTTCAATTCTAAATTTTACTATTCAAAATCAAAACCTAAAATCAAAACCTCACAAGTAAACACATCTGATCATTATCCAAAGACAGAACTAAAGAAAGTTGTCAAAAGAAGACAAGAAGTGGAGCAGCGGTAAACCCAAGCAGATACGGTTCCTAATAAAAATACACTGTTTCCTCTTGTATAGCACAATATAAAAATAATCTTCCCTCCGTCTCATAAGAAGGGTTCCATTTTCTATTTTCCTCCGTCCCAAAACAAAGGTATCATTTCCTAATTTAATAATTGTACTACCTATATAACATAATAAATACTCTTCCAACTTACAATATATTATACAAATGCCACCACCTTTATATTACACAATACTAACAAGGGTATTTTCGTCTTTTTCTTATAATTTAATATAATACTAATATTAAAAAATCTACGTGCAAAAAACAAACGTTACTCTTTATATTGAATTGAACAGAGGGAGTATTTAAACCAAAATACATTATGTACACATTCTTATTATAATATATTAATATTTTAATAAGTTCAAATTTCAGATTTATTTGGATTTTCAGTATTACCTATCTGAATCTATCCAAAATTTAGGCTTTTCAATCCAATCCAATCCTAAAGTCCAAAATGTCTGAACTAAAGTATTAAATTTCAGTTTGGTTCGGATCCGATATTTGAGTTTCATATATTTTACTCACCTCTAGCTGTCATCCTCCATTAATGGAGAGAGCTGCAATAAGTGAGGTATTAGAACATGTTTGGTTCCCAAAAAAAAATATTCATTTCAATCTAAATTCACCTGTCAGTTTACAAAACTATCCATTTCAGATTCAAACATGAGCAAAATTAATGCAGTTTTGAGTAAGATCTGCCAATTAGGGGCACTCATCGCTTTCCATCATCCAATTTGACCAAACTTATCTATAATTTTCAACCTCAAAATTTCAGGTGATAACAAATTAACAACAAAAGTTAATCCATAAGCTAATTGCAGTTCCTACAAAATTCTCCTTCAAGAATCAAAACTTCGAACATCGAATTACTGGTTATCAGCAGTAACTTCATAATAACCTAAATACACATATGAAGTGATCCTGCCAGCATAAACACATCAAATTTCACAAAATTAAAACCACAGATCCAATCATCCCCGTCCAGCGCAACAGTATTTGCCTCCAAATGTTAGCATCAAATTACACAAATAGATCAGAAATTCAACATAAACAACAAAATCATACCATGGAAATTGAAACCAGCGGCCGGCGGCGGTAGGAGAAACAGTCAACAGTGTAGAAAGATTTCCATCGGCTCGAGCCTCGACGTATGTTAATTACCAAACCAAAACTGTTAGAACGGATCGAATCTCATTATATATACATGGGCCTATATGGGCTTAATTATTTGGGCCAACATAAATTGCTGTTTTGAGCCAAATACATAATAGGCCCAAATTCAAGGTAAATATTAGCACTTGGACTTAGCAAAATATCCGAATCCAAATTAAAATTTAAATATTAGTTCATATTTTTCTGATATTCAGATTAAAATTTATTTAAATTTCTGTATTTTTCTACAATTCCAAAAAATATATTTTATATAACAAATTAATATATTTTAGATATTTATTAGTGGTCACCCAGGAATTTGTAAAATATTATTATTGTATTATAATAAAAAAAATTAATTTATCAAATACTTATTTTTCATCAAATTAAACACTTATTTTTCATTTTTTATATTATACTAAAAATTAATTTTACATTCAAAACATCACATCAACACCTATTTATATCAAATCATACAACTATTCAGATTTAAAATTTTTACTATTCAAATCCCAACTCAAAATTCAAACATCCAAACAAACACACCCTAGAAGGATGAAAGTCATTCCTTTTATATCATACATAGAATACTAAATGTTATTTTAATCTTTTTACGTTTATTTCTATTATATCTTAATATAATATTAATATTTTTAAATTTTTGTAAAAAATAAATTGTCAGATAAATATGAAACGAAGAGAGTACAATAATATTATTATTATTATTATTATTCGAGCCTGCCATCCGCCATTTCTTTTCATTTTTTATACTTTATTATTATATAAGTGGTGTGACCCACCATAAATAGAAATTTAAAATCAAAAGGAAAAAGCTCATGGCATGCCACATGGCAGACCAAAATTAACGCTAAATATATATGTATATTAGATTAGATACTCCCATCCGTTCCAATGCAAGGTTGTCGTTTACTTTTTGCACGTAAATTTTTAAATATTAGTATTATAATAGGTTGTAGTGAAAAAGACAAAAATGTCTCTATTAGTATTATGTAATATAAAAGCAATAACATTTGTGTAATATAGTGTAAGTTTGAAGGGTATTTATTATGTTAGATAGAATATAGTGTAAGTTTGAATGATATTTATTATGTTAGATAGACTATACAATTACTAAATTAAAAAATGATAATCTTGTTTTGGGACGGAAGAAAATGAAAAATGACAAAGTATTACAATGAAAAATGACAAAGTATTACTTTTAATTATACATTTCAATTAAAATATGGAGTATTATTTTTTAAACCACATCAACAATAAATATTTTCTTTCAAATTGGAGGGAGGGGATATTTCAATTTGCTTTGAAAAATCATATTCTCTTCGTTATAATACAATTGTCTTATTTACTTATTTTTGTCCACAAAACAATAGTCACCGTAAAATTATCATTACTTTTATTATTATTATTATACTAATACATTTAGGTAAAAAAAGTTTTTTACTTATTCTTTTACAAAGTATTGATATAATCAATATTTTTTAAATTTTGTGTTCAATACAAATAAAACTATAATTCCGAAGAAATATATAATTTTGACGAATGAATAAAAAATTTAAAACATCAATTCATTCCATGTACATTAGAATATGTTTTTTTTTTTAAAAAAAAAAATAAATAAAAAATTATTGTTATTTAATCGGCTTAATTTATAATAAAAATATATTAGTTTTTCTTATAAAATATTATTATATTATAATATTACATAAATAAAAGTTATATATATTGTGAAATAATAATTGAATATAATGTTTTGTATGAAATATTAATTAGTATATACATATTTACATAGAGTTATAAAAATTGCATATTTAAAACGGAATAAAAGAAAAAACTTAACATAAATAAAATTTAATTGACCCAAAAAGCAACAATGTTTTTTTTAAAGAGTAGACAAACTCAATATACATAGAATGTGTCGGAAAATTTGTAATTTTTTTGAGAATAATAAAAGAGTCTTATAGAAAATATTTATATGAGAAAATATGTAAATTATATAATAAAAAAAAAAAACAGAATTGTTCGTATCAATAATTTTATAGCAATTTTAAATAAGTAAAAGAAAATTAAAATTAATTAAATTTGTAATCTATGTTAGGAAAGTAATCCTAAATTAGGATTTGTAATCTGACCGTTGTACTAATCACTTACTATTAAATTAATTCAAAATCTTTGTAATTAATTTATAATCAGTCTTCTCGCCGTTGCAACAACAGAACAGACTTGCCATATATACACGAACGCGACCCTGCAACTTAATCCTTGTCCCAATTCCCAATTTCCCAATTCCCAATCCCCAAATTCCATCTGCAGTTCAGCAGAGAATAGTCCTTGAAGTGGTGTTGGTGTAGGGATCCATTTCTCATCGCAGTTCCGACGAGATTGGGGCTGGGTATCCCATTTCTCGTCGCTGTCCCGTCGTCGCCTTTCAGCATCGATCAACCGCTGTCACAGAATTAACGGTTTAGGGTTCAATTCCGATTGTATGGTAATGTTTTTGTTATCTTTTCTCTTCGGTTTTGATATTTAGGGTTCTTGTTATGTATATTGCAGAGATAGAAACAGAGAGAAACCCCGTCCTCATCCCTAGAGCCGCATTGCTCAAGAAACGAGTGGATGGATAGTCACGAGAACACCATCAACTGTTCGCTAAGTTTAGATTCTTCTAAACCCTAAACCCTTTCCCTTTGTACAGTCGGCGCCTCCAATTTATGATGGCAATAGATTATTTTTCTTAAGTTTTATAAACTGTTTTTGCGATTCACACCCCCACTGTCGTCCTATTTTTTGTTTGTTTCTTGGTTTTTCTTTTTGTTTATTTGTCTCTCAATTCAATTCAAGTTCTTTGGACTCCTATTTTCAAATGTTGAAATGTCATTACGATGCGATCTTCTCCCATTTTTCAAATCCTTTATCTCAAAATTTCAAAATAGCCTATCAAACTTCATTTCAATTTGCATATTTCCTTAATTTCTTCTATCTTTCAATTTCTTTTTCCAAACATGCTAATAATTCTTCCCTCAATCTCTTTTTAAGAATATGATATAGTTTGTACATAATACCAATAATTTTTGTCCCAATCTATATTCTCTCAAAATTTATTTTTACAAAAGTTTGAAGTAATTGATTCCCCTGATATCTTTATATTTATGTCGTCTGTTCTCTTTTTTAAATAAAACAAATAACTCATTTTTTACTCGCATGTCATAGTTGAAAAATTGAAGATTTGTGTTCTCCCTTAAACTGATGAGCGTGGTGAATTGGGTGATTCCATAAACCATTCTAATTAAAGTGGAGGGAAATTTAAACCGTAAATGTGCCTTTCTCATCTTTTTACTATTGTCATGCCATAGCTAAAAATGTGATGTTTTGGGTTTTCCCTTAGATTTGATGAGAATGATGATGGGTGATTCCACAAACCATTCCTTCAAATAAAAATGGAGTATAAACCTTTAAATATGTATTTTTAAATTTTCTTTTGACTATTTTTTTTCTACCATAGATGAGCCATAGAGGTTCTAAGTTCCTTCTTAATTGATAGTTCGTGCATACTATGTCAAGTCTTCTTAAAATATTTTTGGAGCCCTTAAACCTAATGTGGATGGTGAATTGGGTGATTCCATGAACCATTCATGTGGGTGAGAGGGGAAACTTAGAACTCAATGTGTTTCTTTTGACTATTTTTTTCCTACCATAGATGAGCCATAGAGGGTCTAAGTTCCTTCTTAATTGATAGTTCGTGCATACTATGTCAAGTCTTCTTAAAATATTTTTGGAGCCCTTAAACCTAATGTGGATGGTGAATTGGGTGATTCCACGAACCATTCATGTGGGTGAGAGGGGAAACCTAAAACTTAATGTGTTTCTTTTGACTATTTTTTTCCTACCATAGATGAGCCATAGAGGTTCTAAGTTCCTTCTTAATTGATAGTTCGTGCAAACTGTGTCAAGTCTTCTTAAAACATTTTTTGAGCCCTTAAACGTAATGTGGATGGTGAATAGGGTGATTCCACGAACCATTCATGTGGGTGAGAGGGGAAACCTAGAACTTAATGTGTTTCTTTGACTATTTTTTTCCTACCATAGATGAGCCATAGAGGTTCTAAGGTCCTTTGATAGTTCGTGCATACTATGTCAAGTCTTTCTTAAAACAGTTTTTGAGCCCTTAAACCTAATATGGATGGTGTATTGGGTGATTCCACGTACCATTCATGTGGGTGAGAGGGGAAACTTAGAACTTAATGTGTTTCTTAAAAAAAAAATTGGCCATTTTTTCCTTTTCAACTGTTGTCTAGTATAGTTGAACAATTGAGGTTTTGGGTTTTTCCTTAATCAACAGAATTGCGTGATTCCACAAGCCTTTCCTTGTGGAAGGGGAAATATAATGTATTTATATGTGTCTTCTCTATGGTTGGTTTATGTACAATTTTCTCAAATTTAGGCTTTGGCCTGTATTAACTTTTATAAAACTAATTCTTCTTATTTTTAGCTCTTATTTTAAGTTTGTATTTTTCCAAAATTGTTTTCAACTCAATATATTTTACCTTCATAAAATGGCATTGCGACAATTTTCAAAACATGATTTCTTTTTTCAATCCGGTATGCTGACTAACTATGCTTTCAGGTTCTCTCGACCTAGTTTTTGATCAATGATGAAGTTTCCTGCTGGTGCCAATGCCGTTCTTGTTATGTGCAATTCCTTGGTTGATTTCACTTTGTGTCACTATATTTTATCTAGCTTACTTCTGTTTGTTTAGAAACATACCAATCTTTTTAGTTGGCAGGAACTTTACTACCGTCTTTTCAAGAGTATGTTGTTATTTACTTGTTTGTTTTTAATAATAGATGCTATTTTGATTTTTTTTTTTTTTTGGTGTGTGTATGAGGTTGGTGGACATAAATGGGGGAGGTTGAAATAAAGCTCCGGGACTAAGGTGCATCCAAAGATTGTATGATTCTCTCAGTCTCGTAGATTTGGTATCATTTCTGCATCCAAGCATGATGATAAAGTTTGTGTATGTTTGAATCCCTCTAAGATTGAACAATGTGAAAAGATTATTATTTTGCTGGATCTTGAATGTAAATGAGAAACTATTAATTATCTAGTTCAAATTTTGATCTAAAACTTCTTTGTTCATTGTGAAAATTGAAAATTATGATTAGACGGTAGTGGCTGTGGACTACAAATTGAAAATTATGATCTAAAACTATTAAGGTAGTTTGTTCGGAGTAATTATTACTGTTAATTACAAAATGGTACATTGCAGCAGTTAATCACCTCGTCAATCAGTCAAAATATCTAATTGCCCTCTTATTCATTCTTTAACTTTTCTTGTCAATAAGTCAAAATATCTAATTGCCCTCTTATTTCATTCTTTAACTTTTCTTGTTTCTTCAATCATAAATATCTGACACCCACTCATTCATTCATTACTTGTTTCTTTTTTCTTCTTCATAATAGAGAGTTGGTGTGAGAGGATTTCAGTCAGTCGTTTATGTGTATTGTCTTCCACATTTCTTATTTCTTTTTTATTTATTTCTTGCTTTATGCAGAAGAGCAGCTTGCACAGGCAAAGGCAGCGGCAAAGTTGTCCTGCTAATTATATACACACATCTATAACAGGTCTAAATACGATGTTCATCATGAATGAGTTGACTTGAGTTGAACAAGCTTTATTGCATCTGATATATTGAACGGGCAGACTAAGGTTTATCCAATAATGGCTGACAAATTTGTTTTTTTGGTTCATTTTCTTCAGAGAGTGGGAGATAGGGTTGTTTCAAGTTGTCTGGTCAGTAAGTCCCTATCATCTTATTTGGCCAGTGTCGAAGCCATCTTCGCACTGCACATGTTGTTGCCTTTTCATCCAAGGTGGCAGCATGAATGACAATGTCAATGCTTGGGCCTTCATATAAAGAATATTGATGTTAGTCGGGTATGCATTTTTTGAATGACATTCTCAATTGATGAGTTGGTGCGTTCAAACCATTCTCTTCGTTTCATTTACTATGTACCTGTTCAATGATGCTACGTATTACTTATGTGGCGGTCATCTTGCAGGGATTTTCAAGTGCTGGATTTTCAACTACCTGGGTTCACACAGATGGTTAGATACAAGAATGGTAGGAAAAATAAGTTAATTAGGGGTTCTTCACCTTCTTGTGTGTGTGTGGTTGTTTATGTTTATTTATTTATTTTAATTTCTCAAATATTATATATATATATTTTCATTTTTGTGTTTGTTTGTTGGCCTTTAGTTTGTGTTTTGTGGGTTCTTCTGCATTGCAAGGTTATGATATGATGAATTGACTTTATTGTGTGATTTTATTGTTTAATGTGTAGTTATAGTAGGAAAAATGATGAGATTTATATATGGTTTTGGTATGCTCGTGGTGTCTTTTTGTATTGTGTTGTTGGATTGGTTATGTTGCATTGTTTGTGCTTATGTGTGTTGTTTATGTATGATATGTTGTGCCTGTGGTGTCTTTTTGGGTTGTATTGTTTTAATTGTTATGATGCATTGTTTGAACTTGCATGTTATGTTTGTGTATGGTATAGTGCTCTTGAAGTCTCTTGTTTGTGTTGTTTGTGTTATTTGTATTGTTTTGTTGTGCATTTTGTGTGCCCTTGTACTGTCTTTTTGTAAGGTATAGTTGTATTTTTATTCTCTGTTGTTTGTGATTGTATGTTTTGTTTATGTATGATATGGTGTGCTTGTAGTGTCTTTCTGGGCTGTGTTGTTTTCATTATTATGATGCATTGTTTGTATTTGTTTGTTGTGTTTATGTATGGTATGATGCGCTTGTAGTCTCTTTTTTGTGTTGTTTGTGTTGTGTTGGTTGTATTGTTATTTTTTGTTGTTTGTGTTTCTGGTTTGATGTCCTTGTGGTGTCTTGTTGTTCTGTGTTGTCTATATTGTTATGCAACGTTGTTTGTGTTTATGTATGTGTATGATATGGCATGCTTGTGGTGTCTTTTTGTATGGTATTTTTATGTTGCATTGTTTGTGCTTGTTTGTTGTATTTATGTATGATAAAGGATGTTTGCGGTGTTCTTTTGTATCGTTATGCTGCTTGTTTTTTGCTTATGTGTTGTGTTTACGAATGATATGATATGGTGTGCTTGTGGTGTCTTTTCAGACTGTGTTGTTTGTATTGTTAGAATGCATTGTTTGTACTTGTGTGTTGTGTTTATGCATGGTATGGCGCCCTTGTAGCCTCTATTTTTGTGTTATTTTTCTGCGTCTTTTGTTCTTGTGTGTTGTATTTATGTATTTCTAAATATATATATATTCATGTTGTTTGTCTGATGGCCTGTAGTTTATGTTTTGTGTGTTCTTGTACTTCACAAGGCTTTGACATGATGAATTTAATTTATTCTGTGATTTGTTTGATTTGTAACTCGAAATGTTTGATTGCTATTGTAGGCTTTGGATGAGAATTATATACCTTCAAGTTCTTTGAGCATTGTGAACTGTTTCTTATCCGAGTAGGTTGTTATTTGCCTAGATAAATGAGACTGTCATTAAACTTTTAAGCTATTTGTTTGTTCTGCCTTTATAACGTAGCTCTTTAAATTTTGGTCGATCAAGGTTGTAGCTTTAAGGTACTATTTACATCTAGTCCAGTAGATCATTTTTTAACTTATGAATAATTTAGTTATGCATTTGTGCATAGAATTGTTTCTAGGCGATCAAGAGGTTGGTTCTTGCTGGGAGAGGACCTTAGATGAGTTACTCCATTGTCTTGAAAATAAGATTATTCTGGCCATGCTATTCTTAGTGATAGCACACTCTGCTTTAATTTCTCTGTTTCTTTACTACTTCTTTAATTGCTTTATTAGGTTTGTGAATTTGGATTCACTTTTATATTTCTTTCTCCATATGACAATTTGGTTTTGCTTTCTCTTGTAGAGCAGTGTTATTGACCGGTGGGGTCTTGGTAAGTTTACATTCCGAAACTGTAGTGTATACTTAATTGGGTTAGAATAGAACTATAACATAAAATTGCTCATTATTTAGCCAACCAGGTTTGCTTTCTTGGATCTTCTTATTGCTATACTTTCTATTTCAGCAAATAACCCATATTTCTCATTTAAATTTCCTCTTCTGACTTCTAATTTCAGGTATATCTATCTTCCATAAAGACCTCACCTCAGGTATTTTTAATTAATTAATTAATATATATACACACACGATACTTCACTTAATTTATTTTTTTTTTTAAAAAAAATTAATACAAATTAATAATTTAAATAAAAATAGTTAAATCTAAATGATTTTGTTAAAATTAAAAAATCATAGACTAACTCATCCTTGATTACAATTCACAATATACTTTTCTATTTTTAATAACATAAAACATAATTTTATTTATTTATTTTTGTTATTGAATATTACTAATATTGTGTTAAAAATAGAATAAATATATTATCTGTTGGGAATTATGTTGGCAAACATTTAATTCGACAAACAAATTCAGACTTTATATCAATAATAAATACATGAATGATACCATTTTTAAAAAAATATGAACATTAAAAATTAGTTATTTAATATAATTATTTACATTTTTTTCAAAAAGTACATCTATTTAAAAATATTGTGAACAAATCCAAAATATTTCGTGGTTGAAGTTAAGATTGAATTATTTTTCTTCCATTTTAACTAATTTATTTATTATTTTGTATTTTTTAAGTAAAATTGCATAAAATTCACTTATTTGTTTCGAAAAATTTAGTTCAATTTCTTATATTTTAAAAATTTAGTTGAACCCTCGATGATTGAAGAAACATTATGTCAGACCATCTAATGTGAGTATAAATTTTTGTAGAATTTTTAAAAAAACTTTAATTGTGTGTTTTTCTTTGAAGATTTTTTCAAATTTTTATTATTTACTTACTAAATTTTTTTCTTTCAAAAAATTAAATTAAATATTTATTCTTACATAATTAAAAAGTAATTTTACATTCAAAATATTAAATTAATTTTTATTTATATTACATCGTAAAATTATTTTAATTAAAAATTCATAATTTATATACGCTGCTACTCCCCGATGGCCTAAGACAAATTGTTTGACACTAAAGTACTTTGACCGGGGATATAACTGTCACTTAAAATAAAATTTATAATAATAATAATAAAATAATAATAATGTTACTTATGGATTGTATATAAAAGATTATAGCACAAGAAATTTAGCTTTATGCTATTTTGTCTATTCTTTTATGACTCCTTTTTATTTCATATTTTTATTCCTGTAAAACATATAATTAATTACATATTTGAAATTTTATATTTTTTTATAAATTTAGTTATTAATGAGGTGTGTATAAATATATATTTTTTATTATATAAAATTTTATATTTATTATTATTTTATTGAAAGATAATATTATGTTCTTTAGTATTTAAGATATTTTTGGATTTTTTTAGTTATTGGAATTTATTATTAAAATATTTCTTTTTAATTTTTTTATTATTATTATAAATGTCACATAGTATTTTATAAAAGTGAATAAATTAGTAATTGTTAAAATATTTAAAATATACATATTGTTAATTTTATTTTTAATCAAATATTTACTACATAACAATCGAAAAACATTTTATTTTTTATATTATTGTTATTTTTGTCCAAATAAATTTAACTTTTGAGAGTTTTAAAACAAATGTGGTGCGTTAGTTAGATTGTAAAGTTTCCTACTATCTATATATTATGTATTTAAGATCAATCTCCAATTCCTCTACTTTGATATTTTTTGGATTTTTTTATTATCATGATAGTAGGGTATTTAAAATCTATATATTTTTTACAGTTTTTTTTTTTTTGTTAGTAATATATATACACTTTTTAAATTTTATAAAGCTTATTTTTATTTTTAATTTTAATTTTTTATTTTTATTTTAATTTTTTTTATTTTTTGTTTTGTTGAAACCCATATTCTCATTTTTTTTTTTTTTTGCATATTTCTCAACAAATTTTACTTTTATATTTATTTTGATTTAAGAAGAAGATGAAATTATAGAAGGAACAATTTATTTATTTATATTTTGATCGTTCACAATTTTGATTTTTTTTTCAAGTTTATATTTTATAATTATTTCATTTGATCTGTATTGATTTTGTATTGATTTTAGTGTCAGTTCTCATATTGTATTTATATTGTATAAATAATTTAATATGATATTTATTTATATTTTGCAAGATCTTATTTATTTTACAGTTATTTTTTTCTTGGTAAACTTAATAATATTTTTAATTGATAATTTCTCAATTATTTAAATCTTATTTTCTATTCATATATTAGATTTTTTTTCGTGAATTTTTTATCTGGTCGCGTTTCAAAAGATATTGAATTTAATAAAGTATTAAAATATACTCGCTCCGTCTCAACAAAGATGCAACATTTTGTTTGGATATGAGAATTAATGTAGTATAAATTAGTTATTTAAATAGTGAATATTATTATTTAATGATTAAAACAAATTTAAAATGTGTTTGAATATTTTAAACATTATATATCTTAATAAAATATATATGCAATATGAATACTAATTTTTAGAGAATAAAATTTTATAATACAAATAAAAAAAATTATTTATTTATTTATCATTACCATAAATTATTTTCGTAAAAAAATGGAGAGTTTTAAAGGTAAATAAAATATTTGTTAATTGAGAAGACATATAGAAATAAAAGGTTTTGAGGGGGTCATACTTGTAAAATATTAGAAATTTAATTAAGTTGATTTATGTTTGTTAAGTGTATTTAAAATTGATAAATTTATTAAAAATAAAAAAAAATGTTACAAAAAAGAAAAATTGATCATATATAGGGGACGAATGATTGATTTGTATTTAATATGTAAATTTATTGTTAACTTTTATCTATCACGTATATCATGTTCAATTAATATATATTTGAATAATTTTTAACAAAATTTAGTCAATTTTCAAAATTTTAAATGATTTGGTTTTTTTTTTGTTTTATATAATATTTTTATTTATAAGTTAATATCTAATTTTATTTTAAAAAATAAGTTTGAATAATTATAGTTAATATTTCAGTGACTATAAATACTGGTTATTGAATTATATTATTTTTTGCTTATTTATTAA